AGGCTCTCCTGCTTATGTCTGAATGTCTGCCGGCGGTCCGGGTGGGCATTTCTCAGATGGCCCTGTGGCTGCTGCTCCACTCCTGGGTGTAGACACAGACCAGAAGCCTGTCGATCGATGATCGATGCCAGCTCGGGTGCCGATCAATGCCTGACTGCCACCATGGGCTCAAGCACAAGGACCATTGGGAAGGTAACCTTGATGGCACCGGACAACAGTGACAGGGGGTGACGGGAAACCCAGGTGTGCGAGCCTTAAAGGCCGGCAGTTTCTTTTTCTCGTGAAGGAGCGCTGAGAGCAGGGCACCCACGGCTCTCTCATATTATCATCACCCACTTTCACTTAGTCCTTCTCCCTTCGCTCCAGGCTTTGTCTGCAGGGTGGCCACGTGGCTCCCATGTATCCGTGCTCCAGACAGACAAGGAGCATGGGCAAGGGGCACAGCAGCCTGGGACTGTCTCTTCTTAGGAGGATGCTATTGACTTTCCCAGATGACCTTCCATGTAGCCGGCTTCTTCCACTCTCGTGTCGCACGATCCAGAACTGTCCACAGCTACCACTGGCTGTGCAGTGTTTCATAGCCAGGAACCTACTGTCTCAAGCAAGAAAGGGTTTTATTTAGTAAGAAGGAAGGGATGGGCATGATTAGAGGCATCTATTCCCAGCAAAGGCCCCAGGGTGGACTCTCTTCGGGTCATATGGCCAGCCCTGAGCCCCTGTCAACCCAACGGTGACAGGGGTGTTGTCTCGTTCACTGTTGGATACTTCCATGCCTAGACTGGTGTTTAGCACAGAGAAGAAGCATAGTAAATGCTTATTGAATAAATGATTGGACTGGCTGTGTTGTGTGCCTATCCCTAGAGCTAGGAGGTAGCATTGGCTCTGTCTACACCAGTCCGGACTGGTGTGGGATAGAGGGTTGGCTATAGATAAGCCCAGTTGGTTCCAGCAAAGGGGAGGGAAAGCAGGCTAGAAAACAGCGGCGCTTGCCACTCAGCGGCTGACTCCTTGAGAGGCCAGTTCACATAGCCAAACTCTGATGGATCGGAAAGCTGATTTACAGAGTTACACTGCGCAGTGGGTTTGGCAAGGTCCTGTGCATCTGGGCAAAGCCTTCGAAGCTGAGGGAACCGTGGAAGTTGGCCTTATCCACCCTGACCAACAGCCATAAATATTTTACACACACGTATCTGTAAAAAGGCAACAAAATTCTCATGAATGAACATAGCATAACCAATTACAGTGTTCCATAGACAATCCATCTTAGAAGGAATATAGCCAGAATGCTTCTTAGAAGTGAGGATGGCAAGACTTTAGCTCGCTTACTTGGGACTTGGACATGCGATGGATGAACACGGTAGCCACACCGGTGGGTTCGAATGTGCCGGTGATCATGAAGAAAGATAGCAATGTCTCCTTTGGTTGCTTGAGTGTAGAAGGGTCTCACAAGTAGGAGCCAACTTACTGACAACTTACTGACAACCACACACATAGACACATTGACCGCAATAGCTCCGATCCCGTTTCTGTGTAAGAAAATGCTGTTTTCCATCCATGTAATTGACTTCCCAATCCATCAGGGAGTCTCCTGGCATGGTGGGAAAGCCCAGAAGTGGGAGAATGGGCCAGCCAGAGCCAGCCAGCTGGGCAGGCCCATTGGGGAGGGTGTGATGCCCGGCGTGAAACTTGTCCCAGGCAGAGTGACATCATACGCCATACCCAGATGTCTAGAAATGGGACAGCGATCTTTTGGCTGTGGTAGCTGTGAAGTATCTACGGAGACATCCCCGGACATGGAAGTGTCTGGAGTTACATAGCTCTGAAGTGAATGTTTTCCACTTGAGACTCATTCTGGAGATGCCCTGAGGCTTCCTCGGGAACCTAGATGAGTTGGAATATCCAACAAGGGAAGACGTTCTAATGCTTTTGATGCAGGGAGGACAAGACACAGACCAGGGTTGAAGAGACAGATCTGGAGAAGCTAACGTTTTCCCAGCTGCAGCATCGGCGGTGGACACGGGGTTGGATTCAGTGAATTTGAACTAACCATCTTCTCTTGGCTCATTGTCATAAGCAGGCTCTTTCCCCCCTTCACGCATACACCTTTAATGGCTTAGGAAGATTCCGGAGCAGATGTATGGACCTAAAACCACACATGCCCACCGTCTTTGCAATGCCTTTGCTTTTTAATTGGTATATAAGTCACATACCATCAAATTCATCCTTTTAAAGAGTTCCCGAGGGTTAGTGAGTCTCAGTACATTCATAGTCACACAGCCATTCACGCTGTCAACTTCCAGACTCTTCCCTCAGCACCCTGTACACGGTAGGAATCCTCCCTGTTCCTGGCCCTGGGCAATCACTAGTCTGCTTTCTGTGTCGCCGTTGTTATTATTGTTGCTGCTGCAAGCTGTCCGGTCAGTCCTGACTCATAGCAACCCACAACGACAGAGTAGACCTGCCCAATGGGGTTTCGAAGGCTGCCATCTTTCTGGAAGCAGGTCACCGGGTCTGACTCCAGTGGCGCTGCAGGGTGGGCGAGCGAGCAGTTGAGCACGTAAACCCCTTTCTGTCTCTGTGGACTTGCCTCTTACAACTGTATAAACACAGGGATTCCATACTGGGTTCCTTGTGTCTGGCTTCTTTCGCTGGGATAACATCTTCGGCACTCGCTCATGTGGGCGCCAAGGCTCGGTACCTCATCCCCCACGTGAGATTTTTCTGCTTGGAGTCTGTTTGGTTTTGCCCGTGTGTACTTTTGCAGGAAACTCAGGGAATTTTTCAGGCCTTATTTCTTCAAATGCTCTTTCTGTCCCTTCTCTGTCTTCTCCTTCTGAGGCTCCCCATGGTGAACGTGTCCGTGGGACCTATTCATCCGGCCTCCTCCTTTATCTTTCTGTCCAACAGAATAGGCAGCCTCAACTGAACTGTGATGGTTTGGCTTTGTTTGCCCTTCGGCCTCCTTCCATCTGCTGTTGAGACCCACGCGTGAATGTTCCTTGGTAGTTCCTCTCCCTCTCAACTCCAGGATGTCTCCTGGGTCTTTTTTCCCCTTTTCTTTTTCCCTGTTGATTTTCGCTATTTGATGAGCCATCACCCTCATGCACTCCTATTGTTATTTTCCCCCTTATGTTCATTATGCATGCTGTCCTAAGTACTTTGCTTAGTAAATCCAACACCTAGGCATCCCAGGAACTATTTGCATGAACTGGGTCTGGACCCCGCTTTCGTGTTTCTTCACCCCCTCAATGGCAGTGCACTGGGGTTTTCCCTGTTCTGGGTGCCTACTCAAGACTGAGCTAGTTTAGCTTAGGGATCAGCTGGTTGGGAAGATATTTCCTTAGGTTTCTGGATCCACTGAGTCTCCCTGACTCCACTGTATCACCAGCTAGGCAGTTCACCACCTTCTACTTGTACAGAGCGCCAACGTCAGCCAGAGACACGCTTAGGACCTTCTTGGGTCTTCCTCTTCTGAACGTGTGCACAGCCTTGGGCCAGCGCACAAGCCTACATGGGCATGGGGACTTTCAGGTTTTGAAGTTCATCTTGTGACTAGTGGCATGGTCATTCAAATGCTTGGCTCTTAACCGGAAGGTTGGCCCTGCAAACTCACCCCAGCTGCTCTGTAGAGGAGACAGGCGTGGCCGTAGAGATTGCTAGCCTGGAAACTCCTGTGGGGCAATTCTACTCTGTCCTCCAAGGCCACTATCAGTTGGAATAGACTTGATGGGAATGGGTTCGGTTGGCTTTCTTGCAACATTTCAAACCCCGTGCCTGGATGTCTGTCTCCCCATCTCACTCTCCTTCACCCTCCGAGCCCCTGATGGGCATCTCATCTTAGAAGGTTCCTTTAGCAGTCAGCTTTGTGGTCAGCCTGCCATGTGCCCAACTGTCCACACTGTAGACAGCCATGGTGTTCAAGAATTTCCTCTGATGAATTTGCACACATACCCTCCTAGCAAAGGCTGGTCACCCTGGGAGCCAGGTGACAGGAGGGCAGCCTTGCCAGCCAGGTGCTTCTAGATAACCACATGCCGGTCTGATGACGGCATTTCCTTGAGAATGGGCTTAGGAGGCGCTCCAGCTTCTTCTGCTCTGTGCAGTGGCTGCCAGACGGCGGGCTGTCAGGGCTTCCAGGAAGCTGGAGAGAGGGGCGTGCAAACAGTGGAAGTGAACACACCACCAAGGTGGCGGCCGTTCTTCCTGAGAGGCCCCTGGGTTTTCTTGAATAAACACTCTGGGGGTGGCTGCAGAATCCGAAACCGTGGTTCTGGCCATGTTGTCAGTGTTCTCAATGTGATTTGTAGGTGAGCATGCGCAGAAGTCCCTCCCTCCGCTATGTTTGCGGGCGTCCCCAGCAGGCTGGCTCTGAGCCTGCACGCCTGCCTTCGGGGGCAGGGGTCGGGGGGGCTCACTGGAGCCTTTTCTTCTGAGGAGTTGTTTGTGGATTCCTGGGTAGAGGCCCATGCAGTTTGCACTTCCAACCAGAGCAGCCACGGTTTAGTCTTGCATCTGCCCAGGCTGGCATTTCCAGAGTACTTTCTGTGTACAGGGTGTATTTGTGCTGATTGCCACGGTGATTCTCGAAGCCACCAAGAAAGAGGTAATGTCCCCATTTGGCAGATGAGCAAACGTACCGTGCCCAACACTGTGCCAGCGTGTGACATCACTGAAGGAGGGAGTACCGTTTAGGGCCTGGCCTGAGGTCGCTTGCATTCCACCCCAGGTCAGGCTGATTCCCAAACCTAGCCATATGCCACTGCCCCATTCCAACAGCGGGCATGCCCTTTCCTGCTTATTCTCAGTCTCCTTTTCTGCCATGAAGGAGTTGGAACGGTTGAAATTACTCAGCCAAGAAACACTGAGTCATTCCACTGGCTCCCTCCCGGGGGTGACACCAGGCAAGTCTGTGATTCTGCAAGACCTTGGCTTGGGGTCAGAGTGGCAGAACTGGCCACCAGGAACTGGCCGGTGTGATAACACGGGTGTGTTTCTCTCCCTCTGCCCCGCAGAAGCAAAAGGAGCCCGAGCCAAGTGGGTCTTCACCTGGCCACTCATTTTCCTCCTGTGTATCACCATTCCCAACTGCAGCAAGCCCTCCTGGGAGAAGTTCTTCATGGTCACCTTCGTCACCGCCACGCTGTGGATCGCTGTGTTCTCCTACCTGATGGTGTGGCTGGTGAGTGACCGGAGCAGAGGGTGGGCAGCATCTGCCGAGCAGAGGCAGGAGCACTGGGTTCACGACTGCCCTCAGGAGCCTTGTGTATCCCCTCTGGGCGTGTCACTACCCTGCCCTGAGTAGAGCTTATCTCTGAGTAGGTAGGTGTTTGGGAAAAGGCCTGTGACACAGTAGACACCATTGCCCCAGAGGTGTCACTTGGTGGGACAGTGGAATGGTGTGAGGACGCACAACAGGCAGGCCTGGGTGGGAGGTCTGGGAGTTGTAGCTTAAAAAGAAGGGGGCTAGAACCCTCCCTGCCGCAGTCAATTCTGGCTAATAGTGACCCTCTAGGACAGAGGAGCACTCTCCCTGGGGGTTCCTGAGGCTGTCAGTCTTTTTTTTTTTATTAA